TAAGAGTTGCTGTTTGAGTCCAGGTAAAAGTTAAAATTTCTAATGATAATTTCAAGACAGGTAAGTCGGCGCAGCAAAATCTTCCTGTCCTTATTTTGTTTAATTTAGTTTCATAAACATTATAAGAGCTGTCTCGAAGGTACACTATAAATCAGTGTGATTTCTCATTTTCAGCATGGCATCTCGTTTCCGAACATGACCCTCTGCTCAGGTACATTTGAGCTTCTTCCCATCCACAAAGCCAACCTTTGATTTATACTCCAACAATGCTGAATGCAACTTACAACTTAAGCTTGTACCTGACCAGGGCCACATACGGTTTATGCACATACACACATTTTTTTTTCATTCAGCACTAAAGACTCTCTCAATTTCTCAGAGCTGTTTCGACTTGAAGGCACACTGAAAATCAATGTAATACCTTATCTTCAGTATGACTGCTCGTTTCTAAACAGGCCCATTTAAGTTTCTTCAACGTCCACAGAAGCAACCTGTGGTTTTTTACTGCAGCTAAGCTGATCCTAATTACAGTTCAAGTATGTGCCACACTAGGGAGGCATACAGTTTCTAATTCAGACTGATTGCAAACCATGACTAAAGAGCTTTTTTTTACACTGTTATTTAACCCATAGCTGGGGTTTAGAAGAGGTAAATTCATACCTTTCCCAGGAGTTTTTCTACGAAATTGAATGTAACGAACTAGGTTTGAATTCAAAATTTCTTGTTCGGAGCTAACCATTGCACCACCTGCACATCCTGGTCATCAAAAATGACACTGAATGTTTTGAATTTTGTTTGCTGACTTTTTCTGGTTTACACGACTGGAAAGCAAACAAAAGAAAGAAATTTTATCTTTTTCTGTAGATTGTACATTTAAAAAGGCAGTCGATTGGATTGACCAAAATGTGGTTGGAACAAGGTAAACTCAAAGAATCATTTCAATTGTCCAAACAAGTCTTGAAATGATGTATGAAATTAATTTATCTCTAAGGATTTTGTGTCAACAATGTATTTCAGATTGGTTATCATTAACTTTTTAAGTTAATGATAATCGAGGGAAATACCATCTTTTCAAATAATAAGCTTTGTAATACAATAGTAATGCATAATAATTGCTCTTCTCAAAAATTCCGACCTAAAACAGATTATCGTTAATGAACTAACATATACAGAACTTTAATCAGTGCGAATCGGAGATCGACTGTTACAGAGATCGAATTCATTACTATTAGCTTGAGAGGCAAATCACTCAGCACTGAATTAGTGTCCAGTGGTTGATCAACAGAGCAGGTGACTGATTGGAGAGAATGGAACGCGTGATTGTCGGAGGACGCATCAGCTGATTTGTGGATTCATTGTGGAGCTACTGCTGCTGCTACAATTTCCAGACTCTGATTTCGGAAAGATGAATTGCTAAATAATGTCACCTTAGCACATCTATTTGTCATCGTGGTATAGAATCGGTAAAATTCATTAACGAATGCCTAAATGTTTTCATCAAAGAAATCCTTAATTTCGCAAAAGAGAGGGATGCGGAATAGGGTGATATAGATAGACAGATATGGACAGACTGGGATAGATAGAGAAAGAAAGAATGAATCAAATATTGTACTAAATGCATAGATACATTTTGGAAAAGATTTCTAAACAAATGGGTGATTATAATATTGTTTGATACGAGCTCATATAGGTATTTATTTAAAGTATGTTGTAAGCAATGCAAATTATACAAATACATGATTGCAATGACAGCTAGGGTGGGAAGGAGAGTGGATTGCATTAATTTGAAAATCTAAAACAAAAAGTAAAAAAAAGGTTGCCAAAATCCTGTATTTTTTCAGATTGACTGAAAACTAACATTTGACAAACACATAGATACAGATAGAAAGACAGACAGACAGACAGACAGACAGACAGATAGATAGATAGATACATAGATAGATAGAGATGAAAAATCTTAGATATGAAAAGTCTAAGATAAATATGAAAATACTAAGATAGATATAGACTAAGATAAACTAAGATAGATAGAGACTAAGATAGATACGAAATGACAAAGATAAATAGATATAGACTAAGATATATATATATATATATATATATATATATATATATATATATATATATATAGATAGATAGATAGATATGTATATAGATAGATAGATACACATGAAAGTAGTAAGATAGATATGAAAAGACTGATAGATAGATATGAAAAGACAGACAGATAGATAGATAGATAGATAGATAGATAGATAGATAGATAGATAGATAGATAGATAGATAGATGAAAGTGAAAAAACACGTTGAAATAGTGTTATATAAGCGGGGATTTCTCTGTTTAATTAATAAGTGTGTCTCGTGATGCCTTCGCTAATACTGATGTGGGTTAGGGTACAAAGATTTTAACTACTCATGTTTACAATTCCAAAAAACATTTACTTCCATTTTTGTATTCTACTTAAAATTAGCTTTGAAGGAAGAAAAGCTTTGAAACAGGAAAAATAAAACAAAGTTTTGAATACTGAAAGCGTTATTAATTCGTTTTTATACACATTTTTACGAAGGAAAATACTTTATTGAACTGAACGAGAATCAATATTGAATGAACATGATTATGTCAAATGTTGTATAGAACAAGAAAATAATAATTTATGATTAGAAATAAAACTAAAAGGGTCTACAAAAGACTTGGTGTGTTATAAAAGATGATAACTTCTTACACAAAGATTCATCTTGAAAATTTGAAAAGTTCCTTTTTGAGAAACAAGAAAATTGTCTTTTCTTAGAGAAATTTAGATTAGCTTCATTCAGTCGCTATGACTACCTAATATTTTATCTGTAGTTTCTCATAGAAATTCTTATTGTCCTTGCAACTTCAACGTGTTGTTGAATGAAGTTCGTTTCTATGGAAGCATAGCGAACAACAATGTTTTTAATTTCACTTCCGTCAGCCTATTGAAATGTTTTTTCAGAGATTCACAGAAGCAGAGCTTTTGATATTGTTTTATTGGCAGAAAATGTTTTTGAATATTTTTTTAAACATTAGCTCATTTGGATTTTTTAAATGTAAAATTGGAAACTTAAAGTCTTACTTTGAAACTTCTTAATCACATTCTTGGAGGTATGTAAGTCGAGTTAAGTGTTTCTGCCATTCAAATTTGGAAGTTCTTTGTGACTACATTGAGTACAGTAAGAAAAAACAACAGATGAATAGAAAGAAGGAAAGAAAGAAGAAAAGAAAGAAAGAAGGAAAGAAAGAAAGAAAGAAGGAAAGAAAGAAAGAAAGAAAGAAAGAAAGGAAAGAAAGAAAGAAAAGAAACTGGATTTTTGTACGTTTATTTACAATAAAGAAACACTCTCTTACTCCTCTCCTCTCTCTCTCCAATCTTGATCCGTAACTTCTTTTTCGTTCTCGCAGTAGGATTCGAACTATTGCAACTCGCCTTTCCTATGCACAAACAACTATCATTGGATGGATAAACCCTTTTCAAACCAAACCACAATGTGTTTTGTTTGACACGCACTATTTTTAGTTGCTCTGGCGACCTTTGGGTAACAATCATGCGGTTAGTTCATGAATTTTCAATATTAGGTCGTTAACTCAGTAACCAGTGATTGGTGTACGTCACTAAAATTCGTTTGAATGAAAATTCATGAGGTTCTTGTTAAGGAAAGATCTGATGTGTGTTGAAGTAACCAGTTGGATCTGACTTCCACAAGCGTATAAGGCATAAACGAAATAATGCCAAATATCTATCTATCTATCTATCTATCTATCTATCTATCTATCTGTTTATTCATTATCTACCTATTTAATTTTATTCATTATTTAAGTTTATTCATTATCTACCTATTTAATTTTATTCATTATTTAAGTTTATTTATCTATCTATCTATCTATCTATCTATCTATCTATCTCTGTTTATTCATTATCTACCTATTTAATTTTATTCATTATTTAAGTTTATTCATTATCTATCTATCTATCTATCTATCTATCTATCTATCTATGTTTATTTATTATCTACCTATTTAATTTTATTCATTATTTAAGTTTATCTACCTATCTATCTACCTATCTATCTATGTTTATTCATTATCTACCTATTTAAGTTTATTCATTATTTAAGTTTATTCATTATCTATCTATCTATCTCCTTTTTTTATTAATTATCTATCTATGCTCGTCTTCCTATCTATGTCATTCTTCTCATCTCTCTTTCTCACTGGGTCTCTTTATAATATATATATATATATATATATATATATATATATATATATATATATATATATATATATAATGTGTGTGTGTGTGTGTGTGTGATTGCGCACACATAACAGAAACTAAAAATGTCTCAGCTCAACCAAGCAGAATGACCTCCAGGAGCCATTTTATCCGCTTTTCCACACAGACAGCCACACTTAGCTCATCGTTTGTTAAATTTCTTTGACCCTTTGAAAAGAATTTCTGATATTTAGTTATTGAAATACTGATCCTTCTATAAAATGAGTAGGTTCAAGAAATTTTCAGCGCCACCTCGAAATATTGCCTGCTCATACTTATACCAAACTATTCATCTCTCTCTATATCTTTCTCTTTTTAATCATGCTAGTTCTATTCATTTCTCTCGCCCACCCTGCTAGTTTATTCCTATCCTTCATCTATCTATCTATCTATCTATCTATCTATCTATCTATCTATCTGTCTGGCTGGCTATTTATCTATGTTGTATATTCTGAGTTGTAATTCCCAAAGAATATAAATTCCTCATTAAACACCAAAAATCAGCGCCATTGAGCTTTGAAATGCAGTTCATATATAGCATGATGATTTGCACAATTTCGTCTCATTTGTGCAGTTTAATTAATTAAATAAATATATAAACTGACTTGATAAAGAAGACTTGCATCTACGACTATTCCCCAACACTTGTCCACAGTGAATTTAAAAAGCATTTGTTTGAAACATTTTTCTGTTGGTTGAATCTATTTTTAAATAATTGAACAAATTTTTTGTTTGTTTTTTAATTTAAGTTCTCTCTCAAATACATATCTCGAAAACGTTCAAGTAAAGTCCAATTGCTGTAGTAAAAAAAAGATAAATCATGGATATTTCAAATTTAACATTATTTTTTTAAATCTTTTCAGTTACGGGGTGGGGGCAGGTGAATTTTATCAATGATTCCAATAAACGGAAATAACTATATTTAAAGAAAAACGACTTAATTCTATTTAGTGAACTAGCTGAAAATATTGCGATGTTTCATTCATTTTTTTATGATACCTATTTTTACAAAAATATAAACAAAAAATAGTAATTTCAAATAAATAAATGGAAATAAATTGTAGCAAAAAATGCCAAAATAAACTTGTATATTTCAATAAGTGAAAAGAATAAAAAAATCTAAAAGCAGAAATTCATTTTTGTTCTTCATTTACGATAAATAACTGCCAAACACTGAATATAGCAGTCCTTTTTTAAAGAAGATAATCTTGGAAAAATGTGGGTAAATTTGTAAGAAATTCGACTTAAGAGAATTATGCTATGTTTAGTTGATAATTATATAAATGAAGTGTCTTGTGCCATATTTTAATTAAAACAAAACAAAACAAAAAACAAAAAACAAAAAACAAAAAAACTAAAAAACAAAACAAAACAAAACAAAAAAGCAAAGAAAGAAACATGTGGCTAATGGGATCCCCGTAGAGAAGAAGCTTTCTTTATTCAAAAAGTTTAGCACAACACAAGTCGGTGTTCGAACCCAGTTAAAAAAACAAAAACAAAAAAAAACATCAAGATTTCGTATGTTAATTTTTCGAAGTAGATAGAAAAGTAGAAATAGATAGGTAACTTTCTACATTCTACATTACTTTTGATTTGATTTTAAGCATCAGGGCCGGTACAAAGTTCTTGTACCCCATCCCCGAGTCTATGATACGGAGTCCCCAAATCCACGACATAATATATATTTTCATAAGGTAATATTCACATAAAATACATAAAATATTGTAACTTAATTATGTAGTGTAAATAATAGATCATATGCAAGTGAATTTTAGTATTTTTTCATGACTTAGTAAAACAAATTCACGGATTTGGATGAAAAAAAAAGACCCCAGAATGACGTCAAAATCTGCGAAAAATTTCCATCCTTTAGTTTAAATAGTCAGTTGTGCTTAGTTTCAATTTGTAACGTATATAAATATAAATAGAAAAAAAGCGAATGTTGGTAAGATAGCTATGGTCACAAAGAACTGCCTGGGGCCCCCAATCAGGCTTGCACCCCGCCCCCCGGGTCGGGAGATTTGGGGTAGTATGCACCGGCGCTGCTAAGAATTCGTTACTTATACCTTGTCACGGTGTAGTCAAAATCAGGGGAGCTGATTTTGATTATAGTCGTAAAAATGAGTCTTGAAAGCAGACATTTCTTTGAACAAATCAAGTCAATGATGAACATTTTTTTTTGTTTAATTTTATGTTTCTTGAGAAAGAAATGAAAATAAGAAAAATGAGAACATTTTTTTTTTTATTCTAGATTGTTTTTTTGTTTGATTAGAACGTTCAATTCTGGCAACGAATCATTGTAAGAAGGCAGTGATTTAAAAAAATGACATATCCAGACTCAATCTATGCCAGTTGATCTTTCTCTATAGATTTTTATGTCTATGACAAACTGTTAATCTCTCTTTCTCCCTCTCTCTGTTTGTTATTACCAATCTATAACGTTTTCTCTGTTTATCTATTTAAGCCAATCTAATTCCTATCTCTTTCTCTCTATGCTCGTCCTGATCATTCATCTCTCTCTCTTTGTATTTTTACTAAAGTCAATCAAGTCATCTCTTATCATGTGTGTGTGTCTGTGCTAGTCCTGTTATTTCTCTCTCTCTCTCTCTCTCTCACTCACTCACTCCCCCTCTCTCTGTTTATCATTTTCGATCTATCGGAATGTAAATTTATAAAGCTGAATGATTATTACTAGAAATAAAATAAAATAAAAATCCTTCAAATACTTGAAAACAATGGAAAAAGTTCCCTGCTTTTCTGATGTGGTCCCCGGCTGTAATCACGTGAACATGGAAAGCTAGGCAATCAGCTGATCAGCTGATGTGCCGATCCACCGCTTCGACTATCGATTAAAGTCACGAGTTCTCCGGTTAAGGCGTGTGTGGATAAAGACGCTGCTGAGAGTTGAAGACCAATTTAGTGGCGCAGACACACAGACACACAGAAAAAAAAAACCTCATTTCTTATGGAATCATTGTGGAAGACGTTGCATAAGGAAGCTTTAAACAGGGGAATGGTAAAAACTGGATCGGTGGGTCATGCCCGTGTATTCGATCGACCGTCGCCACGCAGCAGACCTTACACACTTTGAACTGACCACGAAGAAACAACAGACGCACTATATAGCTACATAGGTGTATCATACTTTAACGTGTTTGCTTTGTGCATTTTGGTACAAAATCTATTATGTTTGCATTATTCATTTATCTATCTGTTCATAAATCTAATAATCTCTTTCATTTTCTTTCTTTCTTACGCAACTCAAAGATAACGAGATATAAGGCTGTTCAAAAGCAATTTCAATCATTATATATATATATATATATATATATATATATATATATATAGTTAGCGCTCTTATTTTCTGATAATGTCGCATTTGGACATCCATATTTACAAAAGTCGACACGTTTATACATACATAAAATAAATTAAAAATTCTTTTTAGAATATTGGGGGTCATTGAATTGTAGTATACTTTTCCATGTATGATTAGTAAATACGGTCTTAATTTAATGCCAATATCACTTGCCCGCTACAAATTAATACATAATTTTAATAGATTTCAAAGTTTATAAATTATTCTAATTAAATTTTTAAAAAGGAATACAATTCTTGTAAAAATTCATTATTCACCGAAAAATATTTTTCTTAAGACTATAGTGTTCGTAATATATTTTTATACATAAAAGAATTAAAAGTTTTTCTAATTAAATAATAATGTCTTGGTTTTATTGTATTTTTTATTTTACGATTGTGTGCATATTTCTTATAATTGGGTGTCCTGTGTAACCAGAATGATTTGATGATTTAAATTATCCAAGGACCTGTCCTTATAACTAATATAAACATTTTAAGCTCTGCAAAATAAAAATGTCTCGAAATTCCATAAAATTAAAATAAATAATTTGGGGTAAAACAGATAGAAAACAAATATAATTTTAAGATTTCCTAAAAGAGAAAGATTTAAACAATAATCGTATTCGTTTGAGACTAAGAAGTCCTGAAAATTTTATCAAAATCTGACAATTATCTGATTCTTGCAAGAATTTCCAAATGTGTATGTTTTGCTCCGCAAAAAACGCTAAAATTTCCCATAATAATTTATGGTCAACCGTTGTCGCAAGGAAACCAAAATTTTTAACCAAACTTTAGACGGTTCTAAAAAGGATGAAAAATATGATTTAATAATTAAAAGAATCTTTGGTCTTTCCTCTTAATAACAACAAAGATTTTGAGGGTAAAACGTTATTTTATTAAAAGTTTGGGGCATTTTTTCATCATGTATGCGTATTTTTTAACTACTCTTTGGAGATACGTATATATATGTATATATATATATATATATATATATATATATATATATATATATATATATATATGGATGGATGGATGGATGAATGGATGATTACATTTGTTTGAATTTAAATATCGTCAATAATTATTTATTCTTTGGCATTGGAACGAAGTACAATTAGACAACACATTAAAACAAAGATTATGGCAAATTGTCTGTTGGTCACAACAACATAGTTGGTTTTTCTTTAGTATATATATATATATATATATATATATATATATATATATATATCAGTGGCGAAGGGTCCATGTATGCCACGCATGTACTGCATGCCTTAGATTTTTTCCAGGATAAACAATTTTAACAATCATGAACTGCATGCCGCGATTTAAAATTCACCTTTTGTCAGTGATATAATGTATGTATATATATATATATATATATATATATATATATATATATATATATATATATATATATATATATATATATATATATATATATATATATATATATATATATATATATATATAATATAATATATATATATATATATATATTATATATATATATATACATATATTGAATATATATATATATATATATATATATATGTGAATATATATATATATATATATATATATATATATATATATATATATATTATATATATATATATTCAAATAACAGGAAAGAACAATCAGATTTATGATACAGAGTTATTTAGCATTTATTTTTATTTAAAGAAAACAGTGCTCGATATCGTTTGAGAATGGAACTGAGCTCCTGAATTTTAAGGTTAAATTTTAACATGTAAGTCTCTGTTTTGAAACATAGTAATTTCTGTGTGGCGATGGAGACATATTTAAAAAATAATTATAATATATATATATATATATATATATATATATATATATATATATATATATATATATATATATAGATAACGATATATATTTTTATATATCAAAAACAAAATAATATTGGAGAAATTGTATGACAAAGTTTACTTGACGCATTTCGTCCTTCAGGATTTCAACGGACTAAATTTGTTTAGTTGATGGGACTACATGCGCACGTGTGGTCATATCAACATAACAAATTTAGTCCGCTGAAATCCTGAAGGACGAAATGCATCCTAAGTAAACATTTTTCAATGACATATATATATATATATATATATAAAAGTGAACATAGAAGTCAACACTTAGAGGCGACAGTCTGTTTCATGCTACATGCAATCGTCAGGCCACGAGTATATATATATATATGTATGTATGTGTATGTAGCTACGAAAGATATACTTACAGATCACTTATTCCGATGGAAATTGAAAATAATATCAACTCAAGCCCGAGAGGCTACCCTCTCAGGGAGTTTGTCTCCTTCCGAGAGGGCTTGAATAATTACTTTACGGTTTTTCCGATATCCCACATTAAACTCTGACCTTGGTCACATTCTTTTGCGATGTGGGCGCACGGATAATTACCTGCATAAGATAAAAAGAAAGAAAGAAAATGAAATAGATGATTACATTTTGTTTGTCATATATGATGGGATATGGACATTTTTATACTACTTGCAGACAACATGTTCTACAAGTCACAGAAAGTATTGATTAACTGTTCGTAGGAAAAAATGTCTGCCACTATCCTCCTCCTTAGCATTCAAAGTCCAGTAGTTCAATACAATCTAAAATTTACTTATGCTCAGTTATGAAGATAAAAGCATTTCTTGATAGATAGATAGATAATGAACAGTATGTGATAGCTAGCTAGCTAGCTAGATAGATAGATAGATAATGGACAGTGTGAGATAGATGATGATAGATATGGATAGATGATAGATAGATAGATAGATAGATGGATAGATGAGATAGATAGATAGATAGATAGATAGATAGATAGATAGATAGATAATAATGGACAGTGTGAGATAGATAGATAGATAGATAGATGAATAGATAGATAGATAGATAGATAGATAGATGAGATAATGGACAGTGTGAGATAGATAGATAGATAGATAGATAGATAGATAGATAGATAGATAGATAGATAGATAGATAGATAATGGACAGTGTGAGATAGATAGATAGATAGATAGATAGATAGATAGATAGATAGATAGATAGATAGATAGATAGATAGATAGATAATGAACAGAGTGAGATACTTGTTGTATAAGCATTTAAAATAGTCATGAAATAATTCTAATTATACAGTACTTTTTAGAAGTCAATTTCACTATTAGACTTTATATAAACTACTTAAAATATTCCATATCGTTAAGAACTGTTATTTTAGAACTGAATCTTGAATTCACGCTTTTCAAGAACTATTTAGTCACGTGTTTTTTTCTCAGAAAATCCATTCTATAATTGTTATCTTGAGTGATTTTCCATTCCATACAATTGCCACCCCTTTTACCCGGGAAACTTTTGCATAATTATGTGGTAATGAATTATAATTCATTTTGTAACAGATTTCTCGGAATATGTTATTGTTAACCATGATAATGTTCAAGGTCAATATTTTGGTTTTGCTCACAATAACATTTTTAGGTATGTTCGTGAGATCGCTGGAAAATGAGCATAGCATGATAAAAACGGCCTTAAACTTGACAAAAGCAAAGTTTTATCGTCAAAATGTTTATGTTAGTATTAAGAGGAAAAAGCAAAGTAATTTTTAATTATTTTAAAAAAAAATTCTGTCTTTATTAGAACATTCTAACTTTTGATTGAAAAACCTTGTTTCTCTTCACCAGCGAAAGTCCTAATAAATAACATGGCGAATTTTTGGTGCATTTTTTTTTATGACAGACATTAATTTTCAGATTTTATTATAAAATCTCACAATACCAGAAAGTGCACAGTTCGAACTCACTTAAGTTTCCTCCGGAATTTTCTTTCGTTTTCTCCAAAGTCAAACCATAATTAAAAATATCAAGTTTATTTTATAAACTGAATATTGTCCTTTATTCCTGAAATTGGAAGGATATGTCTGCAACTGAACCCACTTCTCCTATTTTAAAAGTACTAATCGTGTATACTGCTGGTGTTGTTAACAAGTAACTACAAATACTTTCTTGTTCACCGTTCTTAAGGGCGGCTTTGTTTGTAGAGAAAAAAAAGTCTAACGCGAACTAACTCGTTCTTATGAAAAAAAAAACATGAAATAAAATCAGAGATTACTTTTAAGAGACGAAAAATATTTACTTGTGAAATTTCGTAAATAAGAACTAATTTGGGAGGAGACTTGAATGTATTCTTTCTTCTTTGTTCCGGATACACAGCTTATTAAACACTTATTGTTTTACAATAACGTATCTTAATATTTTTATGTGCACATGTGTGTGTATGAGGGAGGTTGTGTGTGTGTGTGTGTGTGTGTGTGTGTGTGTAAGAATTAAAAAAAGGCGTGTAAAGAAAATGTTTAATTTTATAGAAAGAAAGAGTGCGAGAAAATATAAAGAGAAAGTGAGTGAAAAAAGAAAAAGAGAGAAAAGGAAGAAGGAGAGAAAGAAAAAAGAGGGAGAAAAAAGAAAGAAAAAGAAAGAAAGAGAAATGTAAGAAAAGAAAGAAAGAAAGAAAGAAAGAAAGAAAGAAAGAAAGAAAGAAAGAAAGAAAGGGAAAGAGAATTTTTTCTCTCTCTCTCTCTCTCTTTCTTTTTAGAGGGAGAAAAAAGAAAGAGGAAGAAAGTTAGAAATAGAATGAAAAGAAAGAAAGAGAAAGAGAGAGAAAGAAAGAAAAAAGAAAGAGAAAGAAAGAGGGAGAAAAAGAAAGAAAGAAAGAGAAAATAAGAAAGAAATGAAAGAAAAAGAAAGAAAGAAAGAAAAAAGAAAGTGAAAAAGAAAGTACGTAGATATTTCACAGTGATAAATACGGAAAATAGTAAAGGAAATAATTCCATTTTCCCTTCAGGACTTCTCACGCTTTGCACTGAAAAAAAAGAAAAAAGAAGAGGAGGTAGGCTGGCACCCTACTGGAATGTGATCTTACTTAAATGGTTTTTTTTCCAGCTTGTTCGGGGCGGAAAATTTGAGTAATTCGCAGGTTTTGTTCTCTTTCCTGTGGGTCAGCCCACCGGAATGTTGTATAAAAACCCTGTTTCACTCATTAAAGCAACTGTTTGTAATCTTGGGTCTCCGGAAGCTAATGGTGAAGCCGACTGTAAAATCTGTTAAAGTTTTACAAGTTCTAACGTGAAACAGAGAATTCAAATTTCAGTGGTGAATAGTGAGATTGCACGTTATCTTCAGCTATATCTATAGTGCCGTGCTGGTGACACTCGTTAATCCAGAGAAAAATCTCCAATTTGAAACTGCAAAGTCGTCCTCCGTAAATCGAGTAAAAGAATAGAGGTCCCTCATCTTTCATCCTTTCTATCTCTAAAAAAATGTGCTTTTGTTTGTAAACTTTAAATACAGATACGGGTGATGTGCGGGTAGTGTAACGGTTATCAGAGCGAAAAACGTGACTGGCTAGCCGAGTTCAAGTTCCGGGGTAGTCTATTACGTTCACTTTCACATTAATACCCTTGGGGAAAGGTATGAATCAATCCCTTCTCCTGTCAGCTATGGATTAAATAAAAGAGTAAACAACTCTCTCTCCAGCAATGGGTTAATTAGTAAAACTTGTATCACTAAATCATTGTTATCTAAAAAAAAATCCTTACAATGTAAAAATATTTTATCGTTTTATTTAACCTGTAAAGGGTTGATAAGCCGTAAAAAACGAATCAAACAATCAAACACGCCAATATCTTCCCGAAGAAGGCATAGCAATTTACAGCTAATAAAGAAGAAACAATTTGTCAAGACCCATGACCAGAAGGGATATAATACAAAAAAACAAAAATAAAATAAAAAACATACAAACGAAAAACTTTTTTTTAAAAAAGGAGGACTCAAGTTAAAAAAAAAATAGAGGACTTAATTCGAAAAACTGAACTTTTGAAACCCCCTATTTGATTAAGCAATAATACAGTTACGTTAATAGTTCGACATTTATCTGAGTAATCCTCTGAATGAACATAACTTGTTACCTTGTGTCAATTATAAATTCTATTAGCAGTGATAACCGTCGTTGGACTTTTTTTTTCACTTCGCTAAGATATACAGTTGTTACTTTGAGAAAATTGCCGATGGCGTAAAATAGCATTTGCGAAATTGCCGTAATTAAAGTTTTTTTAAATTTTCAAACAATTTGCTTGTCGTTTATTTCATATACGTTATAATGTCGCTAATGTCAATATAATTTATAGTTGTATCTTCAAAATTTACAATTACAAAAAAATGTTAAAATTCTTGTTCCCTTTATACATTGCTTACTTCCCTTTGCTCCAATGCTGTGATTGAAATACCTTCGTAGTTACCACATTTCGAATAGAAAATACATTTATTTAAATAATTAAGCATTTTAATTATAAAAGCAATCGTTTACTTGTAAAGAACACAAGAGGCCAAATTGGAAACGAATAACAAAACAATTATTTTACATTTTTTTATCTTTCAACTTAAATATACAAATTAATTATTTCTACTAAGCAAGAACCACTAATTTGTCCAAGATATAAGACATGCTGGAAGATATAAATAATAAAACAGTAGTTATTTGATATCACAGTTTTATGTAAGATATTAGATCTTAAGCAAAATCACACCTATGCAAGCATATGTAGAGCCCCACTTAAAACTGACCTTGTGTCATATTGTGGGGTGGTATACTGCTACAAAACCAAAACATTAATCTAAAATTTCGAGTCGTGTTCTTAAATAGCCTCGTCAGATCGAGGCTTTCAAATGGATGTCATGCATAGTGTCAGACCCCTTCAGAAATATCTAAACTCTCAGCTGTATTCAACCGCATTCTCAGATCAATAGCTAAAAATGTCGAAGGAAGCTTGTAGGTCTTAACGGGCAACTTCCTTCTTGAAACCTTGTGGACTTGCAATAGTGAATCACAAAGATCTGTACCAAATAACAGAAACCACATCACTTGATGACTTTCAACAACAGCAACAACTAAAATAGTTCGCACATGTAATTCGTAGTGTAAATAATGATGTAATCAGGATGTTGATATTCCACACTACTTCAAACAAAAACCCCTCATAAATACAGGAAAGAACGATAATAGCTAATGGACTTGAGAAAACTATTTTCATGAAATAGTGTTTTAATAGAGATGTTTTATAAATTTCAACCGATAGCAGCACTGACTGCCCGGTCAATAAATACCGAATATTTCCTTATAAGGAAATGGCTAATATAGCCATTACCACTATCTGTTGCGGGAATTAATGCAGTTGATCAGATAGCGTTTAATTTCTCCTGGACGCTCGGTCTTGAATATTCACTGATAGCTACAGTTCACTAACGAGCTACGGGCATTTTGTTTTAGAGGCCGACAGTAATTAATCTGTTCTTATGTTGAATTTTACAGAACTTGGAGATACAAAATATAATTTACATGTCGTCAGTGGTAACCTTTACCCAAAGTGAGACCCTTTTGTTGACCTTTGAAAGGGTCCCAAATGTATGTACCAGGGTTGAACTATTTATTTGTGCGAGATTAGGGATTCCATTTATTACTACTCACGTAAAAAAGAGGTCTACATTCTTCGTCCCGTGAGGGCTCAGATAAACACTTTCTGAGAAACTCAGTCCTTATGTTAATATGTGAGAGAGAGGTAGAGGGTAGCTCATCTTAGGCCGGCACAAGACCCCCCTCCCACAAATACAGGGTAATGAGAAAGTTTGCCTGTTTTAAAAATCAGCACCCTTTATGACGTTTATCTGGCTTTCGTTTCAATTCTGTGTAAAAGCCGGTTTCATTTTTTATCTTTCTTCAAGAGCAGTCCAAGAGAGAATATATAGTCGTAGAAGCTCCTTTTAGATAAAGATTTATTTTTACGAGACTGACTACTCAAGATCTTCGTTAAGTAATAATATTATTTTAAGACATTTTTATGTTTATACATTCTTTTTTAGAGATACAAATATTTAAGTAAATGCTCTTTTTATTATAAACAGTATTAACGACATTCAACGGCCTCAATGTCCGAGAAATTGTCATAGAAAAATATGTGTCTTTCGACAGGAATCGAACCTGTATCCTATACGGAACCGTCATATAGCCTGATGTGCTTTTACCGATTCCGCCACAGAGGAACGTTTCAGTTAGGAAAGGTCGATTTTACTATTTTTAAACTATAATTTTCCATGATTTTCTCACGTACATTCATATCTGCTCGATGCGTATGCAAATATAAACAAATGACGTCACACATTATGAAATGGACAAAGTCCGACAATTATTTTAATATAGTATAGGATACAGGTTCGATTCCTGTCGGAGGACGCATAATTTCTATAACAATTGCTCGGACATTCATTTTAATTTCAGAGTCGTTCTTCTCTTAGACTGGTTGCTGCTATTTACCCATAGAGAAGAGATGGATTCATCCCTTTCCCAAGAGCATTTGCATGTAACGAACTCAAATGTTATTCGAATTTGTCTCTCTGATTACTCCACCATGCCTCCACACACATACACACACACACACACACACACACATGCACATATATATTTTACTAATGTTCACCCAATGCAAAGCCCAAGTGCCACTCAGAGTAGAGGGTTACTGTGTGGAGTTGTATTAGCGTAAGAAAGGACAAGCGTTAGGAGTGTACAGCTGAAGTCGACTTTAGAAGGAACCAGAAAGCCAATCCTAAACCTCTACTCCTGTTCAAAAGACTATGGAGGAGTGTGAACCGGAGTGTGATATATATATGAATTATTAGTATACATTTTAGCACTGTTATTTTATATCGATCATTGTTTTATTTCCACCAGGATTCACTATGCGCTATATATATATTTAAAGACAAAACAGACCACTTTAAGGTTCCATTGTTATAATTTATTTCACCAGAGATTTTATTTTTCTCTAGATCTTCAGACTTCACTTTCAAGGGTGAAAAAATTAATTTAAAATTTACACTTTTGAAGGTCAGTATTAAGCTTATATAAGGTGAAGTAGAGGGTGGTGAGGGATAGTGTGAGAGACATGGTCGAAATTAGAGATGGAAGGGAGAGTTTTAAAATTTATTTTTACAATACTTAATATTTAGGAGGAGGGTAAGGATAAATATATGTGTGTGTGTGTGTGTCTGCGTGTGTGTGGACAGAGGAAGAGAGAGAGCGCATAGTGAGTGCTGGTCGTAATAAAACATTGCTCGGTGTAAAATAACAGGGCTAAAAATTATACTACTAATAAATATTCATTTGTTCCTAACACGATAGACCTTGATAAGTTCTTGATTCGACAAAAAAGACATTTTAGAATTCTGATGCTGTTGACATTTTTCTACCACACCTCATATAATTTATTTTCATTTAGCTGGCTGTGCCAGCTAAATGAAAATAAATAAGATAAATAACGATTTCAACTGAACTATATTCAACTTAGACAAAAAGAAAATAGTTATTCAATGAAACCGACTTTAGCCACAAAGACAGCCTCGATGTATCCTCAGAAGCAATTGCATTCTCAGATCAGGTGGTTCTCGTTAAACATTAGAATAAGCTGCCTTAGATGTAGTTTCTCCTAACACCGAAAATTGCTACAAAACCAAAATATAAACCTGAAAACTAGAATCGGTTATGTGCCATGCGTGATACACGCTTAGGCGATCATGCATACATGACTGACGAGGCAGATTTTTTCCCGCAGTAGCTTGCCATTTCTTTCTGCAGTAGACCAGTTGCCATCCAAGGCTATAGAACCCAGTCCGTACTATTATCTACCCATAGCTGGAGGGAGAAGAAGAGTATTCATACCTTTCCCAAGGGTATTAGCACGTAAGTAAATGTAATCGATTTGACTTGAATTCTCAGATTAAAAAC